CCTTTAACCAAAGGGTTTCTAAGGAATCATTCTGGAGACAGTCTCTTTGGGAGGCTCACTCAAAGGGCTTGTGGATTGGTCTTCTTAACCTTTGGTTTCTGCTGTGCCATGGCCAGGATAAGTGTTAGACAGCCAGTTGCCTTAGCGGTCCAGTCATTGGTTGCTAAACCATTCTGCTGTTTTGGTTCGTGGGCTTAGCCTTTCAGAGGAAGGCTGTAGTTTAGCTGCTTCTTATCTAAAGGAGCCACTTAAAGTTCCTTCCACGTAGATGCCTTTCAAATCAAATGTTTTGTAATGATCCCACTGGTAGGATCCCACAGGGTGGACCCTGGATTCACTGGAAATAGTAGGGGAGTGGCAGCCTAGTGGTTAGGGCATTACGCTTGGAATCCTGAGGTTATGGGTTCGAGCCCCACTCCCACAGACTGCCACTCTAGGCCTCTGAGCAAGACCCTTAACCCCTGGGTGGCCAACGGTGGCAGCACACTTCTCCCAAGGGGATAGGTTAAGTGCAGAGGTAAATTTCTCCAATGCGAGATCAATAAATGAAAATTTAATTAGTAAGGTTTATGGCATTCTTAGAAATGCAATGGATTCCACGAGATGACTCTGAAGAAATAACTGAGAAAGACAGATGGATTAAACTTGTTTAACAAATGTATTTGAAAATACCTAGAAAGTTCTGGTAGACTACTCAAGGTGGTCATAATATCACCTAAAAACATATATTTCATCACAATAAGAGGAAAATTGGCAAAGACGTGAATAAAACAAATGGATCGGCTCAGTTGGTTGTATCTGTTGTTTTTTGGTGCTAATTCCTTCTGGTTTTTAACAGAAAATGCATGTTTCTGGTTAATTGATGGGTCTTATACAGTGATGACCAAGATATTTCCATTCCACAGAGAGCATTGTAGTTTGTGGAGCTTTGTCTTTGTTTATAAGTCACCTGCAATAGCCCCGTTTCTCCTGTGGTCAAACGGCCCTGGTATCCGACTTTTCTTGGCACCTCCATAGAACCCAGGTGTCTTGTGCGTCCTGTAGCCAGACACCGTGCCAATCTCTGCTGCTCCCAGGCCACGTGGATATTGTTCTCTGCTGCCCATTGTGCTTGACCCAAGTTCAAGGGGAAACAGCTGGTGTATCCCTCAGAATAAGCCTGCTTGGCATCAATGCTGGACTTATGTCATGGTGTAACCCCCCCCAGTTCCCAGTGTGTTGCAAAACCATGCAGATTGGATTCAAACATCTTGGGGTGTTGATCGACATTTTCCGTACAGTCAGGTGTGCAAATGTGTTGCTGTTTCAAGAAGAGAACAGCAGCACATTTAAATTAGTTTGAAATAAAAAAAAAGGGGCTGGCAAGAAACCGCCTTCAGAAGTCACCTAATTGGTAAATAGAGTCCACCTGCATGTGATTTAGTCTCTGTGTAAATACTGCTGTTGTCTAAAGGCCTCAGGGGTTTGTTACAGAAAATCAGAGAACAATCAGCATCCTGAAGACCAAGGAGCACATCAGGCGGCTTAGAGATAAAGTTTTTAGACATTTAAAAACAATCAGCCTCTCAGTCTATAAAATATGTGGTAATAATAGTTGTTTAATACAGTATGAAGCATTTTAGAGGGTAAAGATGTGCTGATAATAAAATCAGTAGGAAACTACAACTTTCATTCTATAAGTATCAATTATGAAGCAACTTTTTCGATTAAGCTTAGTTTTTCAGGAGGGGTTAAATCTTTTTTTTTTTCCCCCAGAAGCTGCATAGACTAACCATTACCTAAGCTATTAAGATCACAGGATAGTGCTTCTAATGGTTGGTGGATAAAAACCCTGACCGTAGCACGACTCATGCTATGTTCACCTCTAAAGCAGCAAAGGCAGCAGAAGCAGCTAGTTTACATGGAAAGTCAATGGTTGACACGCATCAAGGCGCCGCAAAACGTCCTGCAGCGCGTTTTGAGCATCAGGAGCAGCACCTCACAAGCTTCTAAGCATCTGATACGTGGAACGTGCTTCAAACGCAGCAGCTGCTTGAGTTGGAAGAACTGAACTTTTGCTGCTCGATGCGCCACATCAACCAATCAGAGAAGGTGATCTGGGAGCTGGCAGGGAGACGGACACGGCGCTGCTGATACAGATCACTATGATCACTCCTCTCAGTTTATTAACAGCTAAATTAACCTAAAAAGCCGAAATCTGCCAGCAAAACGGGTTCACTTTTATTATCCTGGTGCCTGCAGTTTGGATTACGTACATGACAAACGCCTTCCAACCGCCGTGGCAAACCACCAAGAGGCAACCGGGCCAGAGGCTGCTGTTGAATGGGATTCCTAGTGACCGCCGGTATGTGGGGGTCTGAGCAGCTCCGACAGCGAAATAATATTTGAAGGCAGGATGGTAACCTGAATGAAGTTTTCAGGTGGACTTTCTCACTTAAAAACATATTAAAACTACTTTTACCCACTGATCACAGCAAATATAGCTGCCATTGTTACAGGCAAAGAAATGATAGGGTAGCTTTGCCTAACGCGCATCAGAACCACTTTTCCCCCCGCGCATCAGAACTAGACTTCTACAAGCATCTAAAATGAAGCAGCATACTCGATTTAGCTGCTCTTGCTGCTTGCAGTGTGAACGTAGCATAACAGTCATGGAGGACGTTAATCTGAGAACTAGTAACTCTGGAGGAGCTGCAGCTCTGAGTCGGTCTCTCAACAGCTGTTTAATAAGTTGCCATGGTGTTCTCCATAAAGCACTCCCTTTTTGTCTATCCCAAATGTTATATTTAGGTCAACTTTATGTTTACTTGTCCATGTGTAATGCCTCATCACCCAAACAAATTTCACTCTGCATAATCACGACTTTACAATGAAGCAATTTTTGCTTCTGAGGTCATGTTTACGCATCATCCTTTTTGAAAGAAAGCCTAAAAAAAAGTCTTATGAGTTAAAAAATAAAATAAGGAGTACTGTTTCCTAACAGCTATTCAGATGAAACATCAAACATGGGGGAATGTATTTGTTAGAATAATGGTGGACATAGCTGTATGGTTTCCACCTTACAGTTATGCTGCACTTTGTGTTGATCTAGATCAGGGGTAACCACTAAACTCCAAATAAAGAAAATCACCAACCAGTAAAGGTCCGGAGACATTTTTAATTATAAACTTTAAGGAGCATTTACCACAAAGATAAAAAACAGATGTTTATGCATCCATGTTATACATAGGATTTTTAGATAAAATAAATATAAAAAAATAGAAAATTTTTCCCTTTTAAATTCCAAAGTGTTTTTTGAAGTAGAGAACAACATTCGTCCAGTTTGATATATAGACAATTTCCTGATTCACATATTTTATAAAACACCTGAGATTTTTCTGGCTTAATGAGAGAAGTGGGCTTTATGCTGCCCTGCAAGGCTTTAAACCTGGGTTTGGATGACGACAAAGTCATTCTCAAGCACATATCAAGGTGCTCATTTTGAACCTGGATCCATATTTATTTTTGATTCTGTTCATGGTGGAGAATCCTGCTTCACAGCAGCAGGTTGAGCCAAACATACTCTAAATGTGCAGGGTCATCTATGAGCACACCATTGCACTATTCTTTCACCAGTTCACCACAGTTCTTCAAGCAGTCCACACACTTTGTTTCACTTTTTCTCATCTTCTTCTCCTTCTTTCCCATTGCCCGGCTTACCACAGGTTTTCCTGCTGTGTCTAAAAGTAGCTAGCAGCAGCAACCCAGACTGACACAGCTCAATTGCTAAATTGTTTCATGTAGCCTGGTGCCGGACGCTCCGCAGGGCTTTACCATATTGACAGGAGAAGCAGTGCAAGTGAAGTTTTACACTGTCGTCGGTCAAGATGCAGTAATTTATAAATGTTTTAAATCAGGTTGGGTCCGGATTAGCCACCAGGTGGGTCCGGATTCGGACCACGGTCCACTAATCTGTGACCTCTGATCATCACATAATACCCAGATATAAGATGCTGATATTTCTGGTGTTCAAATTACTAAATAGTGAAAAGTTTAACATGTATTAATAGTTCAGCATAGCTATAAATTTTTGCATGTAGAATAGGATGACAGCATGGTTCACTAGGAACTACCGTCAGAGCAGGACGTGACTCAATCATGACTGGAGTTGCACTTCCTGTGCTCTGATTCTCCACAACACTGAGGGTTTGTTATTTACATGACTTTGTCTTAAAGTCTTGTACTATGACTATAAGGAAGAACATGTATTAATCCTCAATTAAATTAATATATGCCAAGCATTCAGATATAAAGCAGGTCTTTCACATTGCTGCATTCCAACAGCAGCTTATATAACCAAACTGGAAGCTTAAACAATGGAGTATATTGTACACATTCCATAGAGTATACCGGTATATTGTTTTAATCATTGTAACTAAAGCCTTGTTATGCTAAATATTAACAAACTGTTTTCTTTAGTAACATAAGAGCAAAAATAAAATGTAAAACAGGCATAATAATCCAACAAGGGGAAATAATTTAATTGCAGGTATTTCATATGCACCCAGAATTAGCCCTGGTGTAGAAATCTGTATGTGATTTAGTTTCATGTTAGTTTTTGTCCTTAGGATCACAGCAGCATGTTTGTTCTTTGGCATATTGAAGATCTGCTTATAGAAAAATCTGACATTCAGCCTTTATGACTTGGTTTGTGTCTTAAAAATGGGAGCCCTTTGAGTTGCATTTCCTCATACCTTATAGTGAAAATTCCTCTGAAATGAGGAAAGGAGGCCTGAGCAGGGGTGCATTTCCTGAGTCATTCTTGTTCAGAATCCTCCTGTACCTCTATACATGGTGATGTAAGCCTCTGGAATTGCACCATATGAGTTTCACTTTGGCACAGGTTGTGAGAAAGAACCGCATAAACAAAAACATGTAGTAAAAAAATGCACATTAAAATGTCAACAACTTAAAAAAAACATTCTGATCTTATTGTGTTGATGTTTGGTTATTGTCTTCAGTTCCCAGAGTGTGGCTTCTTCGGCATGTATGACAAGATCCTGCTGTTCCGCCATGACCTAAATGACGAGAACATACTGCAGAGGCTGACCTCGGTGGAAGACATCCATGAAGGGGATCTCATTGAGGTGGTGCTTTCTGGTATGTATACAAACTATTTCTGAGGACCATATATACTTTTAAGCATCTTGTAAACAGAAATAATCTTAAACAAACAGCAGCTCATCCAAGTTTAAAAACTTTTTAACACATTTTAATGTGCCTTATTAAATATTTAAAACCCTTGAACTTTTTCTCGTTGTTTTAGCTCACAGTTTTATGCAAGTATTGAATAATAGTGAAGTATTCAGGTGAAGAATTTAGTCTAACTTTTTTTTGTTACATATGAAGAATTTTGAAGTGCACTATATATTTTAAACATTCAGTCCATTTTCGTGAAAACTACCGCTGTAATGTCAGGTTATTAAAAATGTCCACTTGCTTGGATTATAATCTCTGTATAAATTTAAAAGCCTGAGAGTTTCTTTAGAGAAGATTGCAGATGAAGGAACATAGCAGAGGTGGTGATTAATTTGTGAAAAAAAGGTGTAAGAACTACTATGCTATAAAAATATACACCAAACATGTTTGAGTTACAAACATTTCCTGCTCTGTCTGGAAAATGCACTTTTCTAACAGGATTTAATGGTTGTGGCTGGAAAGAATCATTTAGAGGAGAAAACAAGCATTTGGAAGAGAATAAAGTTATGCCTTACAGCCTGTATTAATGCTTTTTGAAACATCCTGAAAACCCCATCACACAGTGAAATATGGTGGTGGCAGCATTGTGCTCTGGGGGATACATTTCTGTTCATTCAGTCTGAATAAGCCAGTGATGTTATGTGAGGAAGAGATTTCAGTGGCCAGATGTGCAAAGTTGCAGGTGTAATTGCAAAGTATTGACGAAGACAGGCAGATCCCTAATGCATTTCATATTTTGTTGAAAATTTTGTCTTGTTTTCTTTGCATTTGACAACAAGGCACCAGTTTCTCTTTTTGCAACACAGAAAAGTCCAATTAATTATGTGGAAAACTATGGAAAATGTTAAAGGGATGTGAATCCTCTCTGGCTGAAAAAGGTGAAGCTGAGAAAAGCAAAGCTAGATGGGGTAGCAACACATGGAAATTAGAAAAGTCTGACACAGAGTTGATGAAATCCTTTAAATCCTCATCCAGACAGTTAGTGATCAACTGTATACACAGTTTATAATACTTGGAATGCAGCAAAGTTTTGGTTCTGAATATTTTTCTCCAAACACACTTGACATCATTCTTGTGCCGGTCTCCAATTCAGGAAGAAAATCTACGTGCAATCACAGAACAGTTTAAACCAACTGGTAGAAAATCCAAACAGTTGTTGGAAACGATCGGACTTTAAAAAGCTCTACTTTTTTGTCAAAAAGATCAGATTGGAGAAAATGAGACGCCAAACTACAGGATCCTTCTTCCTCATCAGTTCTGCTCACCTTTTTATGCGGCTTAACAGGTGTGGGTTTTTTTTTTCTCATTTCCTGCAACGAATGAATCACTTCCTTCGCAAGCATTGAGACTTAAAAATGGCTCAGAATATCCATTCTGCTTTAATCTATTCTGCATCTCCATCTGTCTCTGCTGGGAGGCACCTGATACCACCTGTGCTGCATATCCCACCGTCTCTCCTGGGCTGAAGGGTTTGTTTGCAGGGATTTAGGCAGCGGATGACTGTATAGGTTTAGGATCCCAGGATTCTTCAGGCATCAGGGCTGAGGAATGTAGACTTAAGGCTGGAGAGCTTCCTTTTTTTTGTCTTTATGTCTGTGTTTGTCTTTTTGTTTCAGTCTGTAGCTGTCTGCCTGCTTCCATTCTCTCTCATCTAATCCATCCTACCTCCCCAAACTCATCTGCAGGTGTAAGCTTTAAAAGTTGAGCTAGTTGATTTCTGATCTTCCTGATTAAAGATCTTGTTTGCGACACACAGCAATCATCTCTTTAGGTTTTGTTGTACATTCAGTGCCGTCCGCGGCACAGAAACGAGATAATGCTTCACAATTCAAAGCCTTTTATTTGACAAACCTTTTCAGCTCCATTATATTTTCTCCTGCATATTCTGGTAATTTTCTCTCTGCTGCTTTGTTGTTGGATTCCTTGCTTATGGGAGAGGGACGATCTAAATATCTTCCTCTCTACAGGACAGAGGCAGAGGTGGCTTTTTCTTGGCCAGCAGCTCAAAGTGAAAAGCGCTTGTTTTTCCTACAGTAAGTGATTGTAGTAGCCCCACAGAGTGTAAACAGGCTCTGATGTGCACGGCTGGGCGGTCCCTTACTGGATCTAACTGTTTTTCCCTTTGCTCTGGTTTTTAGTTCCTTTTAAAACCATCAACATATTTTCTAGTAAAATTAAACTAATTCTCTTTAAATATGTTTTTCATCAGAAGAAAAACATGATTTCGTCGGTTTATTTCTTTTAGCGTTTTGCTGTGAATCTTTATTTAATCACGATAGAAATCTTACCCTCCTAAAAATAAGCTTCACATGTTTCTGCTGACTTCACTCGAGGCATGAGGCAGCTAATCGGATATGAAAAACAGACAAAAGCAGGTAGAAAAATACCCCGAAACAGTTCTGGTAGGAGGTGCTACTTTTTGGACTCACCGTAGATTAAAGGTAGAGCTTTTAGTTTTCTTATTGATTGATATTTTCCCTTATTTTATTTCTGTTTTCTTTCAGCGTTACCTTCTCTGCAGTTAATACTTCTTAAGTTTTATTTGCATGAACTGATTTCTGTGCTTTAATCTTCAGACAATTTCCAAAGCCAGCCTCCAGTGCTGAGTATCGGCTTTTCCATTTAATTATTTTCACACGTTGAAATGTGTGATAGCAGAGTTAAGCAATTAATATAAACAGTTTTTATCTTCCGTGTGCTTTTTAATATCTTTGTTTTTTTGTCTGAAATTTGGCCCCAATACCGACATCTGATACCTGTCTGTGCAGTATTGGCTGATACAGATACCATCTGTTTGAAATGTATACCGGTATGTGTGTGTATATATGACGAACTACATACTACTTGTATGAAAAATAATTGCTATCATGGCTTGTCAAGCTGCTGCCTACCTTTGTGAGGCAGGAAAAAGACTAATACAAAGTGAATCCAGAGTTGTTTCTCAATATGTGTACTTGTGCGTTCTCATGTGCTCGTGTACTCGTGAAACGTCATCAGCTTCAGCTCTAGTACTGATCCAATGCACAAGAACAGATGTTGTTCTCGCTCCTCCATATTCACCCAGTATAATAGAATTCAACTTTATTGTCTTTCCACTGACACAAGTACAGAGCAACGACATGAATTCTCTGCATTTAACCAATCCCATCTTTGGGTAGCAGTGGGCTGCCATTATTCGCCGCCCGGGGAGCAATCTGGGGTTAAGGGTTTTGCTCAGGAACCCAGAGTGGAGGCTGTGGGGATAGAACCGAGTACTTGCATCCTTTTCAGAGCATTAGCACACTGCTTTAACCACTAGGCCAACACTCCCCTACAAGATGGGATGGAAACTAAATTTCAAAAGAAAATGCAGCCACGTCAAAGACTGCAGGACAGGTTATAACTGGCTGAGGCCATTCAGAGGTGATTCTCAGACAGCTTTTATAGTTTTTTTTCTTTCTCATAGAGAGATGTGAGCACTGGGGTGTGGGAGCACTGGGCTGTGGGAGTGGGGGATCAAACTCACAACCTCAGGATTCAAAGCCCTATTCCCTAACCACTAGGCCACCACTCCCCGTATGCATCCATTATCAGAGCAGAGTTGTCCATTGTTGAGATTGACAGCTGTCCCAGGATGCACTGTGGCAGCAGCAGCTTTCAAAAAATGTCTCTTTTCTGTTGCTGTTGTTCAATAAAAGTACATTTTAAGATCATTTGAGGTGCGAATATTATACTTTAAAGCATCACTATATGGTACATTGACCAATTTAATGCATATTTAAAAAAAAAAATGTTTCAAAGTGGAGAGGACCAGGGTAACCAGCTGACCTTAGAGTGTAACGGCAGCCAGGGCTAACCGCAGCCCGTCTGTAGCAGCCCTCTCTCGGCATAGCTGTGAGTGAAGGACCACTGGCTCTGATGGCCATATTTTTGTTTTATTTGGCAAATTGTTCATTTGATTTGTTTTTATCTGACTGTGTTAATTATTATTCCCCCACTAAACGAAAAAAGTAATAATTTATTATTATATAGAGACTACTAATAGCAGGAGGTGAAATGCAGCTCCAGACGAGCATGTGGTGACGTCACTACCTTGAATGGGTGACAATAGTTTAATAAACTTTTGCCTCTCAAAATGGTATCGGTGCCCTATTTGTTGGTACTCTCTGATATCGATACCACCATTTTAGTGCTGGATCGGGGCCCCGCCCAATACTGGAATCGGTATCGGTGCAACACTAGTTAATATTGGTGCTTGGATATACCAATGACCAAGTGAGGAAAACGTCTCATAATGCTTTCTATTTTGTATAAACACCGCACACTTCTTTTCATCAAGATGGAAAGTTTATTTTCCTCTCATCTCTGTGTCTCAAACAGATGCTGCATTCATTCTCCTGAGAAATACCCTTAAAGAAAAAAAAAAAAAACGTCATGTTTATGTTTTGGGGTGTTTTGTTGCTAATTAGCAAGAAAGACACTGCTTAGAAACGCGCCGTTGTTGACATGTTACCCGTTCGATTTCGTTCTTCTTGCGTCAATGAGTTGTTTTGTATCAAATTCATTAAACCATGATGAAGAACTGCGATATTAAGAAGAAGACTAATAAGTTTATTATTTAAACGTGTTCAAGCCCCTTCTTGAAGTTGGAATCCTCTTTCCCGTTTCCTAAAAAGGATTTAAGTTGACTGAATCTTAAGGAGGTTATCATAGATACTGAGGTGAAAAATCATGTCCTTTCATTAAAAAGGAGATGTGGAACTACCACACGATGCGTGACGTCATGTTGGCCTCCCGCTTTCACTACCTAACTTCAGTGTAAAGATTAACCGCCGCGCTTTGGACGCTTAATGATTGTATGGGAACAGCTCTGGGAGAAAACAGAAGTGTCAGTCACACAAACACCATAAAACGGGTTATGTAGTCCTCTTCTTCACATGCATGATTCTCCACAGTCATGATTAATCAACACCAGTTCCCAGCAATGAACAAAGTGTTCGCTTTTAAGTAATGAAAGGTTATAGAAAAGCAAAGGAGAAAGGAAGACATCTGAAAACCTGCTGGATGATTTGTTTTAAAGAATTTACTTTTAGTTTTCTAAATGTATAAAACTCCTGGCGCTCCTTCATTGTAACAATTGTTTACATCCACACATCTAAGATCTCCAGACAGAAAACTCTTAGTTGTTCCCAGGACTCGGCTTGTGACCAGATGAGACGAAGTCTTTTTCAGCCACAGCCCCGAGGCACTGGGACAGCCTCTCTTCTTTCTGTGAGCTCCACTGGAACTTCAAACAATTTTAAACTCACCTTTTTTAAACTGGATCTTAATTCCAGAGAGCGTATATAATATTAGTGTCTTCTATTCCTTTGCTGATTGGCTTGCTTCTAATTTCAGCCTTGAATTTTAATACTTGTTGCTATTATTTTGGTTCTGAATGGTTAAATTTCCTGTTATTCTATTAATTTATGCTGCATTTTTGTTTGTCCTTTTTTTTTGCTAAATTACGTAATACATACATATAATTATCAATATTCCTACTGCCAGATGACAGCTGTTCTTCATAGTGTAAAAAAGTGAAAGTTAAAGGCTGTTTTACTCTAAATGATGGAATGAGTAAAATGCATTAGTGCAGCTGCAGATGTGTCGCCCTCTACTGGAGCAATGATGGTGCAGCAGCAATGTCTGCAGAGCTTCCCTCTGATGTGCTAAATCTGCCAGAGATGTGCTGTGCTCTTTTTTGCAAGACTTCTAACGTATTTATGTGGTTTTATTTCTGTTTCTGTTCAGATGCAATGCAGAGCTCGTCTTTCTTTACCGCTTTTTTAAAAACAGTTTTAGTTGCTGGTAGAACCTGGGCTTCATCTCTCAACAAGGAGTCCATCTTTAGAAAAGGATTGGATTGGATGGTTTTTCCTCATCAGAGATTTGCATAATAAGTTTGATGATTAATTGTTTTGATTAACTGAAATAAAGTATTGTAACCCAGTTTAAACCCGGTGTGTGTATAGAAATATAGGATCTGCTTGCACTCCTGCATTCTTGTTGCACACACTCAATCACATCCTAGCTTCATATACCAACCGTATAGAAATATATAAATACTAGCTGATTTTTTTTTTTTATTATTTATATTTTGTAACGGTACTAACAAACATAGTTAATTTCGTTCATTTTTATCTAAATAATTGTTAAACTTTTTTGCACTTTCTTATTTGTAAAATGGCTCAAGCTGGATTGGATATAGAGCCTAAGAAGTCATTCTTTCAAGCTTTGCCACAGATTGTTTTGTTAATTCAGTCCCTCACTTTAACTGGACCAGTCAAGCACATACATGTTCCTTATGTAACCTTTTGTATGTGGGCCAAAATCGACCTTTTGCTCTCATTTAATCGAAGCCATCTGTTTAACACACATACCGTGTCTCCTATGTTGCCCTCCTGCAAACAAGGACGTCTCATGGCTTTCTTGTAACAGTCTCTTCATCTAACCAGTCATAAATAAAGGTTCTGATCTTGGATCCTTGCTTCCACGAGCAAAGCAGACCTCTGTTCTCCAGCCTGGACCCACAGAGATGGTTTTATCGACTATGGACCAGAAAGCCCTTTACCACAGCTGCACAAAAGCAATAAATTAAAGACATCTTCAGAACCGGCAGGTCTGCATCTGGACAGAAAAACTTCAGAAAAAGCCCCCCAGTGGAGGACTTTATATAAGCCTCCAATTAAAAAACGAGCTGGAGATCTCCAATGGAGGATTTTAAACGGTGCCACAAATTTATTGGGGTGTTTTAAACTAGTGCCCTTTCTGCTGTCTGTCTGAAAATTTGTTCCATGTTTTTATGGATTGCACAAGACTAATTAATTTGTGTTTTTAGTCTTTTTGGGATGTTGTTTACAAATGCCAGAATAAGGCTGAAGTTTCACTTCCACAGAGCCACACAGAATGGAGGATTTTATTCAGTTGTGGGTTTTAACAATATGTTATATACTGTGTCAGATGAAGGACAACTACAAATTAACCAGCTCCTCATTTAAGGGTTTTTAGCTGAAACTTGTTTTTGCCTTAATAGTAATTTTAACTACTACTAATTATTAAATCTGTTAATCCTTTATCCCTCTTATTATGCCATGCTATCACCAGTACTCGAGTTGAGGGAGGATGGGGAGGGGGTGGCATCCCCCTTCAAAAAAAAAAAAAAATCTTAAAAATCATCCCCCTTCTTAAATGACCATCCCTGTGACATTTCATTACTGAATGTGTAAAATTTTTACTATATATCAACTGACTGCATCTCTACTGTAAGGTGCCTCGGTTAATGACCGGCATACCTGACCTGTAACAACCATACAATGCTTGTTGCTTTAGGTCTGAGGTCTTCAACAGGGGATCCGTGACCCCTAGGGGGTCCACAGAGGTACTGCATGGGAACCAGGAATCATAATCAGAAATACTTTAATAATCCCAAGGCTACATTACTCTCGTTACATTACTCCATCTGAAATGGAGTGACTATAGGACCAGTTTGATAGAACACAGTTTCATACAATATATGTAATTAGGGGTTCCCCGCTCCATCTCTCCATCATTTTGGGGGTCCTTACCCTGGAAAATGTTGAAGACCCCTGCTTTAGGTCAATACATTATATTAATTAGCCTATGATTGCTTCAAAAATATCCACCATCCCATTTCTTTTTTTTTTTTTTCAACTAGACTACTGGCTATCACCCAGTCCATTATTTCAGGTCTTCAGAAATCAGCTACATTTACACTAAGATCAGATTATAGATGGGTAGATGGAGATATCAGAGTGATGGACAGGATAAAAATGCAGGTCCGACTTTTCAGGTATAGTTTTGGGATATTTTTATCTTGAAATTCAATGTATTTTATGGTTATAGAATGTCAAAATGTGACTATGTTGAGGATTAAAAAAGATTTTAACAAGGTACTGTATCTGTATCTTTCTGCAACCATTTTGTGCCCTTTTCTTTGCGGTATATATGATATAGGAATTTGCTCCGTTTTTTTTGATGATTTAATTTTTGATGATTTTAAATTTCTTTTCTAGCTCAAGCCACAGTCGAGGATTTCCAGATCCGACCTCATGCCCTCTACGTGCACTCCTACAAAGCCCCCACCTTCTGCGACTACTGCGGAGAGATGCTGTGGGGTCTCGTCCGTCAGGGGCTTAAATGTGAAGGTTGGAAGGACACATCTGGAGGAATATGTTAATGCTTGATTTTTTGAAAGATCTTTTCTTAGTAATGTAGTCAAGTTCAGCCCAAATTCATAAAGTGCCTGGTAATTTTTTTATGATCTTAGTGATGAATTTTGCAAAACACTCCTGATTGATCACATTAGATGGAATACTCTAAAATTTATAAAAAAAAATGATCATCTATCCTCATGTTAGTTGGCTTCTTATCACCCTCTGTCTTTGCAGACTTAATGATTCAAGAACTGGCTACCTAAAATCTGTCGTAGGATTTGTATTATCTCTTAATTAACAACCATTTTTGTTTAATTTAAACTAATTAGATCCAATTTCTCTTCTTTTTTTGAAGGATGTGGGCTAAACTATCACAAGCGTTGTGCCTTTAAGATCCCAAATAACTGCACGGGAGTGAGGAAAAGGCGTTTGTCCAATGTATCGCTGCCAGGACCCTCTCTATCCATGCCTAGAGTGCTACCTGCTGAAAATGCAGTGGTTGTTCCTGATGAGGTGAGAGTTTACTTTTTTTTTTTTTTTTTTGCTGTTAAATGTTTACAAACTTCAGATTTGGCCCTTTTCAGGGACATGTTGTAGAATATCACCAATGCAGAAAATTGAATTTGGCTGCACTTACTCAGTGTGAAGCTTCTCAGGGAGATCTTATGAAACAAATTTTTACACAAGGCCACAGAGGAATCCTACTGTGCGTCCACGCCAAAGGTCATGAGGAAATGTAATCATGTTAATGACATTAAAAGCCATTGAAGTCCAAGGTTTTGCAACTGCTGACGTTTTGGTAAAAAAAACAAATGTGTTTTCCTCTTTCTTTTGCCAGGAGTTTCCAGGCTGCTTTATTAATGCAAATGAACTGGGTACTATTTGCTCTCATGTGGTAAAACACAGCAAAGTTAATAACATTTTTGTGGACTTGGAATGTCATTCATACATTATTTGAGATTTTTGTTTTTCTTTTTAGATTTAAGAGCTTTTAACTTAGCTAAACTATGTTTGCCAGTTAATCCTGAGCAGCTAACTATCTAGCTCTTAATCCAGTTCAGCTAAATGTAAAATATTTGTTTTATGTTAACCTCTTAAACATTGTAAAATAGATCCACAGCTCTAACATTGACTAGTTCCTGTTAATTTATTGCATTTTGTCTATCAGACTAATAATTGGTAATGAAAGCATTTAAAGGTTTGCATATTGATTATTCTATCATCTAGCATCTGTTTTTTGTTGGATTTGCTCTAGGGCTGAAGCAATCAATCACAATTAATTGATTATTGAAATAATTGTAAATTAATTAATTTAGATTAAACCTTAACTGCAGTATAGAGACTGTAAAAAATAAAATTTTTCATATTAGATAAAAAAAAAATTCATGTGTCATTTTGCTATATAGTGGAAATGTTTAGTCTTACCTTGTTTAATTTCATAGCAAAATTCTTCTTTAGGGAACCTCTGGCTATCCAATTATTAATCGATTAATAGAAAAAATAATTGAAAGATCAAACAATTTGCAAAATAATTGTTAGTTGCATCCCTAGTTTGCTCTCAGAAAATATTGATCTCTTTTATAATGGCTAAAGTCTCCAAACAGATGCTCTTATTCACAATTTTTAAAGCATTGTTTGTCAGAAAACAAAACAGAAACGTCAGTTTAGTCTGTAATATTACTCACTTTTAACCCTCTTATTAACATCTCGTCTACACATATAGGAGTTTAATTTTTCTTATAAAGCATCACTAAGTTAATTTTAACTCCTGCTCCCCCTAGAGGACCTTCTGAAAATAGCAGGGTTGCAAACTGGCGGCTCTTTGTGAGCTGCTCAGCACCTCGCAGCTACAGAGCTCAGTCCAAAGTGGCGTGAAGACACAGATCTCGACCAAATACATGAAGAATAGGGAAATGTTTTATGTTATCTGATGTAAACTAATGTAGAGCAGCATGTTGGCTGGAGAAAAAAGACTTTTATGTAAGTCTGCCTCTCAAATGATTGCTTTGATTGTTTTGAGTGTCTCATGTTTCATAGCTGCGTACTAAAAATCCATCACTCTTAAGTCACAACAGTAATAACAAATATTGTACTTATAGGTCCAACAACAACATTGCCAGATCTGCATCAATTTTCAGTTTTAGATTGAGGACTAAATGCCTCAATTCCCCTTGTTAGAGTCGTGTCCCAGTCCAAGTCCCATTTTCTCTCCTGAAAGAGGTTTTCTTTGTGCTTTTTGCTGGCTCCAAAATGTTATAAAACTCAAAAATAAAGAAACGATTCCATAACCCTGGGGTAGCGCAGGGAGGCGTGCGGTTACTGAAGCCATTGGCATCATTTATATTAAGGTGCCTTGAAACTGTTAGTCACGCTGCGAGAATGAAAGAGAGTCGCGATACTACTACTGAGGTAGGAGGCACAGAAAGTTACAAGTGTGGTTTTCTGAGCAGATCCAGTAGGGGGAGATGAGAGACCTCATTAACACTTGGTTTACCTACACATGGACTCAGAAGAGGTTTTATTAAAGTAAAACTGACTTAGTGCTGCTGTAAAAAGTCAAAACTTTTTGCCCCTTTTTAATTAAATCTTGCTTCATTTTAAGCACATTAGTTTGTCTTGTCTGTGCTGTTTGTTTAGTTTCTTGTATATAATATGGTTATGGAGAAGCGTTAAAGTCTACAGCTTCAGATTAACCTTTGAGTTTAAAACCACTTAAATGAGTCTGAGCCCTGTGCCAGGTTCAGCAGAGGTCATTCCTTTTGCTGTCTGTACAGTATGAGTAGGTCAAACAGTCACTTTTCATTTCCCAAATCCCTCAAAAGAAGAACAGTTAACATTTCTAAAAGAAGTTCATACTTTTTTTTGCAAAAACTTTCAGTAATACAACATTTTAAACGCAAAAGATGCAATTTAAAGGTGTATCAATCATGAATGATTCTGTTGGAGAAATGCTTCATGACACAGAAGTTCTTGCTTCACCAACCCTTGCCTGGTATCCTTGGAAACTAGAGAGTTGTATCTTTCCAACCAGGTGTCCCGTGTCTTTGTCTAATGTTGTCCCCTGAAGCATTATGTGTGGTTAAAAGGTTATAAAGCTGGTAGACGTGGTGTCTTTATGCAAGCTGGTTTAGGAACTGCTCCTCACACTATTGATGTTAGACAGTATAAATGACAAAAGCAAAGGCAAAGCAAGTTTATCCCCTTACAGTAATTATTTAAAAAGCTGCACATAAGGAGAAAATAAGAAATAACTAAACATAAACTGCGAAAAGTGTATTGCCCTTAATAAAGGCAGGTTAAGAAAAAGTTGGACTGAGAACCTAATCTAATTATGTTTTTATAATTTTATCTTCTCCTACAAAGACTCTTATATGAGGCAAGATTTCTACAATTGAATTCAGCACTTCTGTTTTGACTAGATTCTACTTTTTCAGGTGAAAATCACATTTGGCATAGTTTTGGCACATCAAGCTAAATTGTGGCACATCACCAGCTAAAACCTTTGTGGACTTTACCAATATACTCTTAAGACAGAGTTCACGGATTAGCGGACCGCGGTCCGGATCTGGACCCACCTGCTGGCTAATCCCGACCCAACCTGATTTAAAACATTTATAAATTACCGCATTTTGTCCGTTGACAGTGTCTGCTTTCACTTGCGCCGCTTCTTCTGCTTGTACGGTAAAGCCCTCCAGAGCGTCTGGCACCAGGCTACACATGACACATATTACCCAATGAGCTGTGCCAGTCTGGGTTGCTGCTGCTGACTACTTTTAGACACAGCAGGCAAACCTGTGGTAAGCCGGGTGATGGGAAAGAAGGAGAAGATGATGAGAAAAAGTGAAACAAAGTGTGTGGACTGCTTGAAGAACTGTGGTGAACTGGTGAAAGAAAAGTGAAATGGCGTGCTCAGAGATGTCCCTGCACATCTTGAGGATGTTTGTCTCTACCTGCTGCTGTGAAGCAGGATTCTCCACTGTGAACATAATCAAAAAAAAATATCGATCCAGGCTAAAAATTTGCTCCTCGATATGTGCTTGAGAGTTACTTTGTCGCCATTCAAACCATGTTTAAAGCCTTGCAGGGCAGCATAAAGCTCACTGCTCCCATTAAGCCATAGAAAAGTTCAGGTGGTTTATAAAATCTGTGAACTAGGAAATTGTCTATATACCAAACTGAACAATTGTTGTTTTCTACTATAAAAAAACACTTTAGATTTTAAAATGTAAAAAAAAGTTTCTATTTTTTTAAAATATTTTTTTAATTCAAAAACTGAATGTATGACATGGATGCATAAACACCTCATTTTATTCCAGTGTTAAATTCTGTTTAAAGTAAGAAGTTATAATTTAAAATGTCTCTGGACCTTTTTTGATTTTTGATTTTCTTTATTCGAACCCCGCTGATTTTTAATTGGTTTCCCCTGCTTTTCAAAAATTGGGGAAAAAAACAGCTTACATGTAGAGCATACAACTGAATTTTGTCTCTGCTGAACAGGCAGACACTCTGCAGTCACTTAGTCAGGGTTTCCGCGGGTGATTAAAAATCATTAAAAGTCATTAAATTATTATTTTTTAAATTAAGGCTTTAATTGGCATTAAAATTGCTTTTATAATCCTTTATTTAAAAAAAAGTTTATAAAAACAATTTCGCCAAATATATTATATAGCAATATAATTGCGCTGAACTGCTTCTGGTTGATCGTAAAGCTGTATGTTCGGAAAAGAATCTCGAAGGGGAGAAAAAGCTAGAGAATGCGTAAATGCAAATTTCAACAAAAGTGGCTTTAAACGAGGAATTATCATTTATAAATGATGTTATGATGGTTATTTTAAAGTAAAGTCCTGGGACTGGGATCAGCTTGTTTTTTGGACACCAAATATTATTCAATAGTTTTGTTTTTATTGTTATTCTCCTCACAGAGCAGCTTCTTGGACTTGTTTCAAGGTACCGATCACAAACCCAAAGTGAATTTTGGTGTACCTTAGTCACACTAGGGCTGTTTTTATTAATGAGCAAAACAGTCGGACAATGTTTGGAAGGCCAAGAAACCATCTTGTCCTTTAAATGACTGAACAAATGTTTTTTCTTTTTTGCTTTATCATAACTTCCAGATGAAATGGAAGTTAAATGACTGGAGGTCCGGTTTTATGCTGTACTTATTTCTCCTATTTATCTGTGTCCCTCAAATGTTCACTTGAAATTTCTTGATCCTTTAGTGCTAGTGGTTTTAATCCCTTGTAACGCCCAACCTTTTCCCTGTTTTCCCTAACTCAGCCCCAGCGGTCCCATCAGGAGGCGGGGAAGCGCATCCTGTCCTGGAGCGGCAGGCCTATCTGGATGGATAAGATGGAAAAGACGCGGGTCAAGGTGCCGCACACCTTCGCCATTCACACCTACACCAGGCCAACCATCTGCCAGTACTGCAAACGGCTACTCAAGGGTCTCTTTCGCCAGGGAATGCAGTGTAAAGGTAACACCTAGTATGAACACATTGATCTTTTTATATTCTGTTAAAGATACAAACATCTCATGTTAAGTATTTCTCTCCAGACTGCAGATTTAACTGCCATAAGCGCTGTGCTTCAAAGGTACCGAGAGATTGTTTAGGAGAAGTAGACTTTAATGGTGGTAAGTAATGCTTTTAACTTTTAATTTCATGGTTTTGACTTGAAATAATACATTTCCAGATGTTTAGCAGAAATGTTAACATTGCTATAAGTATTATTATTGAATCATCTTCAGCCATGAGTGACAAATATGCAGACTGGTTCATCTAAATCTGTTTCTGTGGAACTTTTTAGGTCATATTAGTGCAGAAAATCTTCTTAACTCTATTCTGCAATATTCTGATGATCTGCATTTGGTGTAAATGTTTAGAGCCAGCGAGCCCCGGGCCTGACTCTGATACTACCATGGATATGGAGGTGGACAGTGGGGATATGGATGGCGGAAGAAGTCTGGATGATCCGGACGAACCATCCACTCCAGACGGGATGTTTGGCATGGATTCACCCTTCACCGATAGAGAGAAGGATGAAGAGCCAATCAAGACTATAAGGTATGACAAAATACAACCCCTTTGACTGTTGATTTTTTTTTCTGGTCGATGGCAAAAATATTCTGTAGGTGGCAGGATTTAATTTGTTGTCTCACTGCACAGAGTCTAGTTCTAGCTCTTCATGTTTTGTGAAGTTACAACCAAAAACCAGATGTTTTTATTAGATTTATGTCATAGACAATCAAAAAAAGGAAAGATGGTTTAAAAAAGTAAAAATATGGAAACCATAGTGTTAATTTGAATTGGTTTCTTCCTCAGTACCTGAGTTTGAAACAAATCTATAAAACAGTTAATTTATGTGTTGAACGGTACATCTATAGATGGAATAGCTCAGTCTCAGTCAGATTGAATGGAGGACAAATAGATTGCTACTGCATTTAACTCTTTACTTTGACTAGGTCATTCTAGCACATTAACTTTAAATAAAATCCTTTTCATTGTTTAGTATGTTTTGTTGAGGTTTTGTTCTCTGACAATGTGAACTAACATTTAACTTTTTACAAGGAGAATAAAAATCCTTCATGATTGCCTTTTATTCAGCTCTGACCAGAACCAATTCAATTCAGTTTATTCATATAGCACCAATTCACAACACATGTCATCTCAAGGCACCTTACAGTTCACCAGATCATACAGTCACATTGATTCAAAGTTTTCTATCTAAAGAAACCAGTTGATTGCATCGACTCATTGATTTGAAGGCAATCCCTCACACTAAGCATGCTTGTAGCGACAGTGGAGAGGAAAAACTCCTTTTAACAGGAAGAAACCTCCAGCAGAACCAGGCTCAGTGTGAGCTGCCATCTGCCAAGGCCGATGGGGGTTCAAGGAGACAGAAGCAGAGATACAGAAAGCAACTGTAAAAGGCGGCCCCGTCCAGGAAACACACAGCCGGGCAGACGAGCTCCGAGCCAACTCCCATGTCAGAGAATGAAGAGAGCACATCCAGCCTACACTGGAAAACAGACCGATGTTGAACATTTTATAAACAAAGGTGTTTATGGCAGCCACACAGCTGATATTTCTCTCCAGAATTACCACCAGTCTCTCATCTGAGGAAAACGGCCTTTAAATGTAGAGGAAGATGACCTTCTTTCACATTTATGATTTTTGTTTCCCTCTTTCTGCTTCATAAAACTTACATTTGTGGAGAATCTGCTTATAGTTTCCAAATGGGCATCTTTGCACCTTCTCTGAGTAACGCCAGTCATTGGTTAATTTTTTTGTTACCTTATTGACCAGCTTCAAACCTATCCGCAACTATTTGGAGTGGTGGATTAGCGGTTAGAGCATTGCGCTTGGGACTCAGACGTTCTGAGTTCAAGTCCCACACACTCCCAGGGACTGCCACTCTGGCTCCCAGAGCAAGACCCTTAACCCTAGCCTGCTCCCGGGGCGCCACACAATGGCAGCCCACTAAATATATTTTATTGCTCTGTACTTGTGACACTGTAATGATAATAAAAGTAAAAAAACAAAACAAAAACTACTGCTCTCTAACAGGCCAGAACAGCTGGATTTATGTTAAGGTGAAGTACTTTTTAGATAGACTGAAGAACTGACTTTGCCTGGCTGTAGTACTTTGTTTCATTCTACTTCTAAAGTTGTGAAAAACCTTTAGGTATTTGAAGAATTGTTTGTGTCAAAGGAAAGCACAATCTATTATTTTCTACCTGTTGAGACATTTGTAAGTATACCAGTGTGCTTAAAGAAAATATTTGAAAAACAAAACTGAGATCTAAAAGAAGTATGGTTCTGTTTGTGCAGTCCTTCAACCAGCAGCAACATCCCACTCATGCGGGTGGTCCAGTCTATCAAGCACACCAAGAGACGGAGCTCCACTGTGGTCAAAGAGGGCTGGATGGTTCATTATACAAGCAGGGACAACCTGGTAAGAGTAAAACCCTGAAACAGAGCAGCTAGCTCCAGCTGGTATTAACTGCATCATTTTAAAAAACAGTTTTCCAGTTTGTTCGGAAATTACTTTCTTTTTGAAATAAAATCACATCTTTGTATTATTTATAAACAGTCTGTCTTTACAATCTTGTTCTTTTTGTTTTTTCTATCAAATTTAACAGCGGAAGAGACATTACTGGAGGCTGGACAGCAAGAGTCTGAGTCTTTTCCAGAATGACACAGGAGCTAAGTTCTATAAAGTAAGCTACTTTGCATAATCTATGTTTTATTCCTGAAAAACAAGAAACATGCTTTTGTTTTCTTTCCCTGTCCTTCACTTAAATCATTGTGCAAAATGACAAACTTCTGAAAATATATCCCCTAGATTTAGTTCAGATTATCTATGAAGACCTTCTGAACTGAAACTAAAGCAGCACTGCTTTTGTTTGGTGATTTAAGCATGACACATTGTATTATCACCCTGATATGTGTGAAGTATGTAAATCAAAGCAGGTGGGAGCCGTGTGACTCAGCTTAAGAGCCGCCTGCGTTCCAACTGTGATGGAGCCGTTAAGGTCCGCGCAGCCCACTGAAATTTCCCCGGTTCTTTTTTAACACAAAACCTGGTCTGGTGAAGGGGTCGTCAAGTTTAAGATGATTTAGAGTTCAAGGCACATATATTTCCCCTTTTTTGAATCTTTTTTGAAGAGCATAGTGACTGTAAATGAGTGACTGTAATTTGATGTGTAGGGATTGTGTGACACTTCCCTCTCAGTGGCAAGCGCAGTAGTTAGTCATTACTCAGCCACAGGGGCTTAATAAAGCAGTAATTACACAGAAAACGCAGAGGGAAGGGAACTGCAGCCTGGACGGTAAAGACTTCCCCATGTGTCTCTATGCTTGCTTAGAGATGAGTGTCTCTGAGACACAGAGACCTCTTTGAGTTGTGGTCAGGGGTCTGTTGCAGTGGGATGCTGAGTAGGGGGCTGAGTTTCCGGTTTTAAATGTGTGTCAAAAAGTTTGAGCTATAAGCTTCTGTTATGTAGAGTTCCTTTTCACCTTTTTTTGGGTTAGTCGTCTTACTTCTTGAACAACAAGAAATAAACATAAGGGAAAAAAATCGCTCTCCCTTCTTGCCCAATTATTCTGTCACACCCTTCATCTTCTGCCACCAAAAGCCTCAGAGAGGAAACCTCAGTGGGACAGACTCCTCAGGGTGTGTTTATCGCTGACTTTATGTGGTTCTTTATTATCAACTTGGCACTCAACTACACTTGAAATCCACAGCAGGCAAATTAAAGGCTTGCTCCAACTCTTTTTTTTTTTTCTACAATAGTTGGTCTTTGTTCTGCATCAGTTGATTGTTCTGTTCATCCAGTTTTACTCATTTTATTTCACTGCATTTAACTCCTTTATCCTCAAATGTGTACTACAAACAGGACTGTAGAGTAGAGAATAAGTTTTCTGTGTGACATTTAAGATTTTCTAAAAAAAAAATAAATAAAACATATTGCTGCCAAACTTCTACTGAAACTATCAACATTGTAATTAAATCCCATTTTGCCAGGAATCTGATTAACTTTTTTTCATTTTACAAATGTCGGCTTCTTGAGTTACTATTTCAGCAACTAACTGTTAACGATAATTTTTTTATCCTAGCTAAAATTACCAGAGTATAATTTATAAAACATATTTCTGTCTTTTGCAAACAGGAAAAATGTGTAACGTTTTTGGGGCTCCCCATTTAATCCCTGATGTTTCATTTTTTTTTTATGTCAAATAATTTCCTAATCACTTATCAACACATAAACTGCAAAAAGTCTGAATCAAAGGTATTTTTCGAAAGCTCCTTAAATCCAAAGACATGTATGCCATATAGATTGGACTTTCTAAATTACCCTCATTTAAGAGGGTATGTGTATGCTTGTTTGTCATGTGTTCCCGATTGCAAGAAAGCAAAACAGCAATATAGAAATTAAAGTAACAAGAAGTCCCAACAGAGAACCTTGATAGTTAAACTAAAAAAAAAAAGGTCTGGTCTAGAATAAGATATCATTTCTATTAAAAATCCGTCTTTTAGAGTTTTTATCAACACATCCTTTATATTTCTTTCCTTTTATTAAAAAAAGTTGTTTTCTCCAATCTCTGCAAAGTCAACTACATAATGCAAGTGAATGTTTACTGTTTCTACAAGGATTAGTGAATTCAGGAAAGTCAGTGTTCCAGTGCAGTCAGCTGGGTTTCCTTAAGCCGGGCATACACTGTGCAATTTTTTTCAATTGTTGCATGCAGCTACATTTGCGTAGCTGCGTGTAACCCTGCGGTTTTGTCGTACAGTGTGAGTTCACAGCTCATGATGTATGTTCTCACACTGTGTGCCCGACGCTCTGATGCAGTCTACCTGCTTAAACTGTACATCTAAAAACCATGCCGGACTCAGCTCCGCAGTGAGATGGCGCTACTCAGATTCATCTATCTCGAAGCCAAATGAGTAGAAGAGGAATATTCAGCTCACTAGAGGGAAATTAAACACACTGCCTTGGCAATTAGTGCAATTTTATGCTGAAAGCCCTAAAAAGAAAAGGCAAAAGCGTATTTGGACAAAGATGTGGCTGAGCAAACGTAGCTACTACGGTCTGTCCTGCCACGCTTCTGTGTTTTCATCTGAGAAGAAGAAGAAGGAGAATCCTTGTTTACTTGCTGAGCGATTCGCCCACGACTGTCGACTGCAAATCAAACATATTTTATTTTCTCCCGACCTCACAATTCCTGATCGGGAGGTGGACTTGAGAGGCTAATTACCCCTCGTTATCCCCTGTACGCTACACGACGCACGATCAGGCTGAAAGTCGGCCCGATCTGAAAATTCTCGCACGACTGGAAAGTCAGCCCGAAAAGGGCATTAAAATTGCACAGTGTAAGCCGGGCCAGAACATTTTTAACAAATCTGTCTGATCTAGGGCTGCAACTAATTATTATTTAGCAAATTAATTAATCTGTTTATAATTTTTTGATTAATAATCAGTTACTTCTAGGACTGAAACAATCAATCGGATTAATGATTTTTGAAATAATTGTCAACTAATTTATTAATTGATTTATTATTAACTGGAGTATAGAGACTGTAAAACATGTCTTCAGCTGACAGAGCAAACCACTTGCAGCAGTAATTATATCAAAATTGTTAAATAAATATATAAACATTTTGTAGTTAAGATAAAAAAACTTTTTTGTCTGTTAATATGCTATATCCAGAACTCCAGTGGAAAAGTTTGAGTTTTGACCTGATTTAATTTTGTAAGAAATCTTCTATAAGGAACCTTTAGTTCTCTGATTATTAATCGATCAATCGAAAAAATAATCAGCAGATTAATCGATTTGCAAAATAATCGCCAGTTGCAGCTCTAATTACTTCTCTAATTGGGTTGCTCTGTCAACTAAAGGCATGTTTTAAAGTCACTATACTTAATTTAACGATTAATCAATTACTAAGTTAGTTGACTATTTTTTCAATAATTGATTAATTAGGATTAATCTGATTGTTTCAGCCCTAGTCTGATGATTTCATTGATTTTTATCAGTTAGGTGCCTGAAGTTTGCCTGTGCTGTGAAATAAACTGAACTGAACTTTTTCAGTAGAGAAATATGTAACAGTGGGACAATAATTGATAAACACAAATTATCCAAGAAGTGCTAATCAACATAAATATAATATTATTTAGCTTTTCCGCTGTTGTTTAATCTCACAATTCAACAAGGTGAAATGAACAAAGAAAGATTACGAATATGAATATATATATATATAAAGAAAAAGATGGTCTCCTCCATTTTCTTAATGTTTATTCATTTATTGATTGATTGATTTTATTGACCTCACAGTGAAGACATTTACTCGTTACATCAAATACTCAAATAGTCAAAGAAGAATGTGCCAAAGGAAGAAAAAGGTGTATAGATATATACATTATATACAGACCTTCCATATATGACAGCCTTTTTTTTTTTTTTTAGTAGTAGGATCTTTATAGCAGGTTATTCCATGGGGTGTTTACAGTTGTTTTTATATGGATGGATATTTATATTTATATATCGTTTGGTTATCTAACATAACCCCAGTTCTTAGAATAATATGAACGAGGTGTCTCGCTATAGGATGCAGCCTCCTGCAGCCCTGATAGAAGCATCTATCTCAATCTGCCAATCCTGATTGGCCGGTG